ATACACTACTACAGGTAACATGATGTAAATTACATTAACTTATGTTGATACTACTAAAACACAAAGATCTTCTCTGCTTCAGAAAAAATGGCAGTCATGATGAGTTAAACACTCTGCTCTATACAGTGCAAAATTCCCCACTAAACTATCTATAATATTCCTTTCTATATAAAACTAAGCCAATATACATGTATCATCATGTTATTTACATATGGCTGATTATTTTAAATGTTCATTATAGGGGCAACCCCATAGCAAAACATGCTCACTTTGAAGATGAAACTCTTATGAAATTAAAAGCAAGCTGCAAGAAAACAGGATTTACAACCCCCCCTGTAAATATTCTTTAGTGTGAATGGCAATAAAATGAAGCAAGCTTTTGGGAAATACAACATATATATTCTTTAACTCAAACTTTCTCAGAGGGGGAAAAAAAAACCTCTCAGAAGTTAATGTATTTAGGATTCTAAAAACTCAGAGAACAAATTCGAAGAAAAAAGGGAGAAGAAAACAAAGACCCAGCAGGCTCAAAGGCTACTTCCTTCTGTAATACCTAGTTTTTGAAAGTATTTGATAGGCTATTCTACTTTAGTGGATGGACAATTTTAAATAAACATATAAAATTCTGTTGCACTCCTGTATTTTCCAAAGCCTTGTTATAGTCTTAGTGATGTATTAATACTTATTGAAGAAGACCCCCTCTTGCACTAAGCACCTGTGACACTGGCTGTTCTGCAAACACAGCTTCTTGCTCTGCACATTTACTGTCTCAGTATAAAATAAGCCATAGTAAGGGGAAGCACTAGATAGAGAGGCTGCAGCAGACCAAGTAACAGAAAGATAGCAAACATTACTCTAAGCTCATCACCTGTCTAGCCTTCTGCTGATCTATACTTTGCCTCTCACATTATCAATGAGAATTCTGTACCTGTTACAATTTTGCCTATACAGATGTCATGAATTAGTTGTTTGGCTGCTCAAAGAAACACTGTCAAAGGTACTGGCAAAAGCAGGGTTTAATATGGATATGTGAAAATGCAACTTTACAGAGTTCAATGGCAAGGTTCACTCTACTACTTACTACACAGACTAAAGCATGCAAAGGAAGATCAAATAAGAAGCAATTTGGAATGATTTACACAAAAGCTGTGAGTGCAAAAGCAGTAAGACTGCGAAGGATATGGGTGGAAAGATAAGGGTGCAGAAGGATTTAGCAGAACTTAATACTTGAGCACTTTAACATTTACAAGGGGGTTTGACAGTTTTCACAGCAACAATAACAATGACTTAATGATTCAAAATATTAACACTTGTACCACAATCAATTCACATACATACAGGTAAGTGATGTATACATTTATTTCTATGTATGCAAAAGCTAATATAAAAAATTCCCCTCAAATTCACTACAATATGTCAAATGCCTTTGCATTTCTCAACAGGCAATGGTTACACCTTGAGGAACATGGAGGTGGGGGGAGAGGGGCTGACAGTCCTTGAATACCACAAACTTAAGGGTTTGCGAGCTCTGGGAGGTGCTGGCACAGGCTGCTGCGGTCCAGGCAAGCCCAAACAGTATTGCTTGGGATTGCTGTTTAGAGGGTCAGAAGCTGACTGACTTTGGCCATCAGTAACCTTCCTTCCTGACTGTAAATCAAGTCAGTAACTAGTAAGCTTTTTTCCCCAAAGTGCAGTAACAATGGTACCGTTCCACTCAGGCTACAGCCAGGTAAATGGTTTACCAAGGCTACAAGCAGTAATTGCTTATCCTTTGTTTCCCACCTTTACCAAGCCAGAGCTCCTGGTATGATCAGGGAGTGCCTCACAGCCCAACTGGTATAGCCAAGGGATGCTTCACCACTCAGCTGGTTTGGTCACGGCTCACCAGGAGCTTCCAAGAAGGCAGAGTAGTCACAAGGACAGGGGGTGTTACACCACAAGAAGTAAAAGAGTTATTGTTATGTAACAGTACAAATGTTTAGAAAACTTTTATCCACGATGCTTAGTTTAGATACTTAATTTTACTTATTCGCAATCAATTCTTACATTTGACTGCTCTGGAGAACTCCTATGGAATAAATTCCTCAACATCTGTTAAAGCTGCAAGGTATTAGCAACATAAATTACCAAAGCAGACACACATCCAACTGTACAAAAACTGCCAGCACCTTGCCTGTTGGTCTTATACCTAGTGGACAGCACCCAAATTTCTTAAAGTATGCAAAAGAATTTATTTTGTTTTGAACAATTTTTTTTTCCTCTGCAAAACCAGTCTCCACAGTGAATAATAACTAGAATGTCCCTGCCCAGTATTTGCACAAACACAGGCTTCCTAATAGCAGCATAGTATCTTGGGGATAGTTGATAAAGTCTTCCAGACTTCACTCCCCCCAGTATGTAAACCACTAATGTCCTCCCAAGGGTGCCTGCCTGCTCTTAAAGTGAAACACTGCATTACTGGAGATAACCTTTAGAAGAAAAGTACTGTGCTCATGCTCTTGAAAAGCAAAACATGTATACTGGGCTATAAGAACAACAACATGTAAGGAAAGTCTGGAAAGTACATTCATATTATGGGGGCTTGAAATGCTTTCTCTGCTTAGTATTATAGGTGTAGCATGACAGCTCATGCTAAATTACTGAAATTTCTCAAAGGCCCCCCCAGAAACAGGACAGGACTGCTTCTAACACATAAGCACTACAGAGAAAGGTCTCTACACTGCAAAGCCTAACTCTACTAAACTTAGCAAAGATAAATAGAATCACCATTAATGCAAAAGACACTTTACCTTTCAGTACAATAATACATGTTTTTATACTTTTAGTAGGCTGTATATACAGCAGACAACTTTAAGTGTATCAGACACCCTGAGAACCCCAGTAAGCATTCTAACACAAGCACTCTAACACCAACAGCTGTCTCAGTGTAGATTTGGAATTTACAAGACATTTTTAAGTAAAAATTACCACGCCCCGAGCAGAAAAACGAGAGCAGCACTACATGAAAGCCAAATTCTGCACTTTTCCGAGACACCATTCTTGAGCGACTCTGCCCAGGAGGGATGGCTGGAATTTCACCGCACACAAGCACAGACGCGGTGCTTACACCGCGGCCGAAGCCGCTGGCGGGCGCCTGTCCACCTCGTGTCCTGTTTCTCGCGGGGGGGAAACGCTTTTTAGGAATTCCCGGGCTTTCCGGTCTCGGCACCCGTTTCGGGAGCCTGTACCCGAGGCGGTCGCCAGTCCCGGGCTCGCACCCTGAGGAGGGCGATGGGCTCTCCACGCCGGGGCTGCCTGGGCCATCTTGGGTCGGGATAGCAGCGGCCACATGGTCACCGCTCCCTGCCGGGCCCGGCTCCTGCGGCCCCGCCAGGTGGGCGCGGGCGCTCAGCCCCGGCGGGTCCCGCCGGCCCGGCCCGCGCCGCGCACAACGCCGGGGGCGTTCGAGGCGCGCCTGGCTCCGGGGCGGGCACCCTTCCTCGCCCGGGGGAAGGTGGGGTCTGCCGGGCGGGCCCGGGACAGACCGAACCCCTAGGCACCAGCGACCTCCGTTCACCGGGCCGTCCGAGCCCCCTGCGGGGCCCCGCAGACAATAGAGCCGGCACCCCGGGCCTGGTTCCCGGCTTCCTGCACTACCCCGCCGCCACACGCCCCCTCCCCGGCCTAGCGGCGCTGTCCCGCGGGCGTTCCCGGGAGGGACAAGGCGCCGCCAGGCCCGGGACGCAGGTCCCGGGCCGCGCAAGGCACCGAGGCCACTGAGGCCAAACGCGGCGGTGGCGGGCACGGGAGGGGGAGGGGGGGTGCGGGACCAGAGAGCCGTACCGCCCTGCCCGGCGCCCTCCCGGTGCCGGAACAGTACTACTCACCTCCCCGGGCGGCTGCCGCGGGGAAAACCGGAGGTGGCCAATGCCGCCGCCCGGCCGGGCCCGAAGGAGTTAAGAGGAAGGGCCGGGCGGGCCCGTCCCATTCATTACCCGGCGCTTTGTCTCCGCCGCCGCCGCGACGCTGAGCAGCTGCCCCGGCTCGGCCGCCGCGGGCGCGGGGCGCAGGCGCGGGGGGCGGCGCCACGCACGGCGCGCGACATGTCAGCGCGCCGGGCCGTAAAATGGCGGCAGCCGGGCGCTATGCTTAGGGCGTGCGGGGTTCCTTCACATCCGCGTCCCGGCCGTGCTTCAGGCGGGCCAGGGCCCGACACCGGCTTTCTCCGCAAGGGTGCGGCCCCGCTGGTCGCTGCACTCCGCTTCGTTCCTGGGGCGGCTGAGGGCGGTGGCTCTGTGGGCGGCGGGTCGGGGTCGGGCTGGTTCCTGCGGTGCTTCAGGCCTGGGGATGCCTCCAGGGCCTCTGCTGCGCCTTCCCCGGGAGGCCGCGGGCCGGCGCTTCGCGTTCCCCGCGGGCCGGCTACGGAGAGGCTTTCCTGGGTGTCGCTCCGCTGGAGCGGTACGGACACGCTGTTCCGAGCGCAGCCCTCGCCTTGTCAGGAATTTAGCCTCCGTTGTTCGTATCCGCAATTAAACCCACCTTGATGGCTATACGTGGTCTAACGCAGAGGGGGTTTGGTTGTGAGCGCTGTTTTGAGGTACTGAGTCTGCCTCGGGAGGGGCCCTTGGCGTGGCGCTCGACTCTCACCTGAGCAGGCATCCTAAGGAAGATGTTCAGGGCTGAAGGGAATGCACTGCGCCGGTTCAGGGAAACAGTGCCAGCAATGTGCTTAAGGTCGTGTTCTGGATAAAGCTCCTCCAGGTGCGGTATTGGGTTGTAGGTCGGTGATTTTCTTCTCCAATTGCAGAACAGTAATTGAGGTTATCATTGGGCCGAGTGATCCAGGCTTTTCACGTGAGGGTGAAGACAGTGGTTTGTTGGTCCTTTTGATGTGTATCATTTCTCCGGAGAGCTGAGTGAGATATAATCTGTTGTGATTGTGACATTTGTTGTCAAATTCCCAGTGGCAGTCATAGATTTCACTTTCTTTGCCTTAAGTGTTGGTAGTCATAACTCGCTGCTCACCTTTGGGAGTGAAAACAGGAGAAGAACCTTAAGAGTACTGTACACAAACTGGTTTGAAAACAATGATAAATTTTAGATTAAGACAGTGTTTAGAGAGACAGTGCTTAAGAAAGGCCTTGCTTTTTGATCTGAGTTATTTTCATCAGTTAATTTTTTTCTCTTTTCTTTGTAATTTGAATAGATTTAGTAAAGAGTGTTTTGGTTGGAATATATGGCAGTATATGAAGAGATCAGTTGATAGCTTTTTGATTTGAAATAGTGTAGCTCTTCAACATTCTGCCATGTTAGGTGCATGTACTTAAGTACTGGTGTGGTTTTCTAAACTGATTCTGCCGGTCAGCATACAGTAAATGGTCTGTTGTGGTTAATACTTCTTTGGAAATCTCATTTCAAGTTTGTTTTTTTTTTTTTTTTTTTAATTCATACATTACTCAAACTCCCAACAAAATAGTTGTTATGCTGTGTGCAGGCAGTCCTTTGTTCCTTATTACTTTTTAATATACATTTTCTTTTTATTGGTAGAGTTCAGTAGTATCAGTGTGTGTATATATGTATATACAGACAATATTATATATATATATAGTGTATGTATTGGCTACTATAAGTGACTGAGAGCAAAGTGATTTGAAATGAAGATACTTGGACTTGCTCAGTTTTCACTGTGGCAAAGTGCAGTTATATGAATAGAACTGCTTAAACATGAAGTTTGGTCTTGGCTAGATCTGCCAACTAGACACAGTAATAGAGGTGTGAGGGCTTAGTTAAGAAGTCTCTATAACCAGTCTGTTGGCAGAAAATTACAGTGGGGATGATAGCAACAACTGTTATTATTAGTATTGAAATATGTCACCTCATAAAGCATCTTTTAGAGAACGATAAAATTGCAACAGTTGGAATGACATAGTTATGCTTATCACAATGTGGAAAGATTAAATATCAGAGTATGTGGCTTTGTTAACTGCCTTTTTTAACAGCTGTGATTTTGGAAAGTTTCACAATTCATAGTTTAAAATTTTACAGTAAATTAAAAAAGACTGGAAATTAATTTTGCACTTTTGCACTGCATGTTGCTCTTTCTGTAATCACCTCTCTGTATCTCTTCGTTTTTTATGCATCCTATTCTGAAAATTTCCTTTAGGGTTAGGGGAGTTGGGAGTAATGGAAGTTAATTATTTCTTTAAGTTATCTTTTAGGTGGCTTGAGAACCAATCAGTGATTCTGTATATAATCTACAGGTGTATATCACAGATTGAGTGAAATAACTGGAATTTCTCCGTTCTTGTTTTACACAAATACACCGGAAACTCAAGAAATCAGGTCTTAAAAATCTGAGCAAAGCTGGATCCGGAACGTCTTCTCACAAACAACCAAGCAATGTGATGAATAAAACACAGAGGTGGTGATCTGATGGCAGGCAAAAGAAAGAGTAAGTAACTGCAATTCCTAGAGAAGGCTCCAGACTGCCAGCTTGTGGTGAATGTAGCAGCACTGGTGTGGTGATAGTCTAAAGATACAGATTTTCCATAAAGGTTGCAGTCTGAGGTGTAAGTATGTGAAAGAACATAGTCATTTAGGAAGACACGTAGTTAAGAAAATCTGCGAGGCATCCTGACAGGAAGAACCCAAAATTTCCATTATTTAACTTCAGAAAAGTGATTTTTTTTCTTAGATTTTTTCCTCCATTTATGCATTTACAATCTTGTTATCTGATTCAGATATTGTGAATAAACATCTTTGTTTGCATGGTTAACTGAACCTGGCATGAATTAAAAGTGATATGATATTAAATGAATATAAAAAAGTAATTTCTCACTCTAGTCCCTGGAGCAAACTGCAAGTATCTGGCTCTCCATTATGTTTTGTAGAATAGCAGAAAGCTAGGAGACCATGTTTCCAAGGAAATTGTTCGGGTTCTCTGGAAAAAAAACTATTCTAGGTTCAGAGAAGAAAGAAACATAACTTCTGTAGCTGTACGTAACCATCTCTCTGTCATTCTCGGTACTGGGGTATATCTTGAACTTGGAAGGCTCTCAGGGAGGCTCTAGCAAGAGCCTAAGACCAGTTGGAAACTAAATTAAATTCTTGTATTCTATCCTACTGTGACAGAACTTAAAGTATGCCATCAATACACCATTTCAATGTTGTTATTAGCCAAATGTAGATGTTTAGTGCTGCAGACAGTTTTGTGTGTCGTGGTCCCAGGGTCTCTCCAGTCACTGGGCTGTTCATCTTAATCCAGTTGTATTGCTTCCTTCCTTCCATTTCTTTCTTGGTAGTAAACATAATGTTGATACTGCAGTGATAAATTGATGTAGTTCTGTCTTTCTACATTGGTATACATTTGGAAACACTAAATGTTGATAATAACGGTATAGTTAGTAGTGTTGGTGCCATTACCTTGTTTTAGCAAAATTGAGCACTTAATATTTATCTCCTGACCTTCTCTGGTATGCTTATTTTCACTCAGATCTTTGGTTTCACCTTTAGTAGCTTCTGCATCAATGATGCATTTTCCAATGAAGTAATGAAGACTAAAGCTACATTAAGAGATAACAGTTCTTAAAGCACAAAGAATTACAGATTTTCGTATGCACTGAGGTAATGCATTCAATAAAATTATCTCCTTTCCTCCTTGTATAGACTCCAGCCTCTTCCAGGAACCTATCCAGGCAATGTCAGCTTAATGATCAAAATCTTAAAATAGAGGTCAAAAGTACTAAATTTGGGTGCCAAATTTAGTATCTGTCACAGGGGTATGATTTCTAAGAACTTGTAACGTAGGAAGTTAACTTATATTTAGCATACATTCCCATTTATTTCAGTGGGTATTTGGCTCTGCTCATGAGATCCAAGGTGTCAAGGTTAGTGCTCAGTGAGCAAGGAATGAGCAATCACACAGTAGTTAGGAGCAAGCATTCCCTGCCAAAACCATGGTGCCCTTGTGCATTTATGTTAATTACTTCATTTGTACACAACTGTTTAATCTGTATCATCCTCACTCTGTAGCACATGAGAGGTGTATGTCACTGACTTTTGACTTGGAGTTGAGCATATAATAGCATATTGACAGGATTTTCTCATACTTGCCCTTTATGTGGAGTGAATATAGTGCTGGAGTATGTCTTTCAGGAGTGGTCAGTTTGAAATTCCTATTCTAGCATTTCTGTTGGGTCTATAGAGATTTTGTCTACCTGATAAAGCCATCAGTATCAGAACTGATTTACATATACATGAGTTTGGAAGTTCTCTTAATTAGGCAGCATCAGGCCTTGGGTGTGGCAGTAGCAAGTCTGGGACAAACAAAGACGTCTGGGGCTCGCTACTACTTGTTAAATGATACACAAGAGTTGGGTTCCTCTGTACAAAGGAAGCTACAGGCTGTGTTGGTTGCTCTTGGTGGTTCAGGATTTTTTGTGGAATCTTACTTCTGACTTATTTTTCACTTTATTTTTCCTTCCTAGATTTTGATGTCACTTTCATGTAGTCCTTCCCCATATAAATGAGGAAGCAAATTTTAGTTCTGAATGAGCCCATCTATTTTTTCAATTTCTTCTGTGACAAATGATTAGGGATTCTAACAGTCAAACTTCCTCCATTGCAAACCATCTTAATCATCATTCTAGAGGTTTGTCCTCTAGAAAGAATGAGGAAGAGATAGTAAAGTAATTAAGACTGGATTTGGGTCTCATTACTAATTGAATTTTAACTTAATTGTACTAAGGGTGAAGTCTTAACTCATTGTAAACATTGGAGATTGTTTCTTAGATACATGTTTGGGAGTGAGCTAACTGGGAAAAGAACTTCCCTCAGAGCTTATACCTCATCTCATATTAGATTTGCAGGTTTTTAAACTGACACCAGAGGAATTGAGAATAAGAAAGTCACTCTAAGGGTTTCAACAAATAAAATAAACTTTATATATAATTAAAAATTATGAAGGCAATGAGCATGTTGTTTTTGCTTGGATGAGTGCTGTGTAGAGAATCCTTTCCAGTGCAGAGGAGAGGATCAGAAAGTAGGAAAGAGAGACAGTAACAATGTATTTGCATAATATTGTTTACATGGGTTATGCTATCTTGATAAGTTACTTCATTTATCACAAACTCAGCTATTTTCTGAAATCCAAACCTGATCAGAACAATCACAGAAACTAAAAGAAATTGTATGTCTCAAAAATCATTGTGTATCAGATACAGGTATGGAGCACATTTTGTTTTTGCTTTGCTATGGCTGCATTTGACAAAACTGTTCAGTTAATATAGGTCCTTTTTTTTGTGTGTTACCTTTCTATAAATTGTCTTATGTCTGCTACTGAGGTTTCCTCAGTGTGTCTTGTGAAAAAAGAGGTCAAAATCTAATGTAGACTTTAAGACACGCTGTTTTGTAATTCTTAGCTGTGCAAGTATGATATTTTTAGAACTTTTTGCATAGCAATTACTGTTTTGTTTTTTGATTCCTACCCATTACCACTGACGTTGTCTTTACCCATAACTTGGCTCAGTTAGTTATGCTGTGTGAATTGACAGACACTCCAAATCTAAATATGCAGATCATGATGGCTAATAACTGGGGATGCAGAAGAGGCACTCCCAAATCCTGGATTTACTTTACTGCTGCTCTCTTATGCTGGTAATCATTTTCATCTGATCATGCAGGAAGGCACTCTTGGGAGCTAAACAGAAGATTGGTGACTTGTTTATGAAGTGGTTGTTCTGATGGTAGTTATCCTGTGGCAGGAGTAGCTTCCCAAAAGACCTTTGCAGGGGGAGTTACTATGCAGAACATAATAAAGGTGCCAAACTGTAAACACTAGGAATTGAATAATTGATACCAAACAGACAGTGACGGAAGAGAAGGGGAATATTGTTTTCTTGATTATGGCTCTGTCTACTAGTCTCTTCTGGAACCAGCAATATACATAAAGAGCGACAATAACTCTGTTCCAAGGGTTTGCTCTTGATAAAATAGTCTCAAAAATAGTAGATGGTAGTTTTGCTGTTTGGCAGACCTAGAGGTCAGTACACGGGCAAGCTCTGTGCTTGTGTTGCAGCATGTTGTAATTTGGGTGCGGTTTTTTGTTTTCTATTATTGAAGCATAGTTTACATATGTTTTCATATATATCCTAATTGTGAAGTTTGGTTTTGCATCTTTGCAGTGTCCAGAGGAGTGAGCTCAATCCTTATCTTCCACCATGCAACAGTTATGAGCACATATTGTAGAGAGCATCTTAAAACTGCAAAATCCTAAAGGTACATGATGTTAAAGCTTCAAGACAGTGGGTGAGTAAAGCAGGCAGTAGGTTTCCCTGTCAATTGCGTATCTCAGCAAAGTGCTTGGTGTATCTCTCCGTCAGCAAGTGACAGGAAACATGCCTCTTCTTGCAGTAGGTGACCCCAAAGCTGTAGTTCCAACAAATGCTTAAATGGAAATGGGGTAAGGGCCTTTACCTAGCAGCTTTACTACTTGAAGACCACTCTGTTAAATGATCCTCAAGGTTATCTATAGATAACATTCCATAGGACTGCTTAGCAGATGCAGCTCACAAAGGTATTTCTTTGTAAGCACCCTGATCAAGCATGACTTCTGGTGCAGCTCTGATGATGAAAGGTCTCTGCACCTTCATCAGTACCATAAAAGGCACTGACACAGCTGCCAGTCTGTTTTTAAGCTTGTGTTTTGGTGAAGACTGTGTTTGTTTGGATCAACATGAACTGTTCTGAACGGTCAGACTAAAGGGTCTTAGCAATTAGTAAACAAAGAACCACTTTGGCTGTGAGAATGAGAAAGGTGGTATGTGTAGGAAGTAAGAGCTACTGAGGCTGTAAGAAAAAAAAATCCTTGATTCCATAGCAGTTGGTGAACATTATATACACCAATATTATTTCATTTTTATTCCCCCTTTTGTCATAATACAGCTGGAACTTCCAGATCAGAGAAGCGAGAAGGAAAATCCAGACAATTCTTCCTAACTACAGATCAAGGAATATATTCAGTAAACAAGTAGGAGTAAAATGGACCAACACTTCTTTTATATATTTGAAGCCAAAAATTTGATATTCGTTCTGGGATGGTCATCCAAGGCTTTGAACCATATATCCCAGTCTAGTATGACATACCAGTCTTTCTTACAAGATATCAATGATAACTAAGAGATGGATCAGTGATAATGTGTATTTTTCCGTAAATACTAAAATTTGCAAAGATCGCCCAGAAGATGCAGAGTGATCCTGCAGCACCACCCCACAGACTGAAAATACAGAGCTGAAGTTTTGTGAGCACACTGCTGTAATGTGCCTATTGATAAGGTTACAGCATCTTTTCCACAGTGAGTGCTGTTCTGACTTCTGTGAGGTTGGGAGCAACCTTTCTTTTGTAAACTTTCAAAGTCATGCCTGCGAATATTCTACCAGTGCCGCGTACCCTGACTGATGAAGTAAGTGAGATCTAAAAGCATTCCCATGTAGGATGAGAGGACCATGGTAATGTTGTATCTCATCTATGAGTGTGAAGGTATAAATTGTGTAATGGAGAAGCCAAACCTGAAAACTTACTGGTGATACATTACCTTAAGGCATCATACAGAAGTATCACATGGAAGGTTAGGTAGATTTGTCATCGTGATAGGAAGAAGACCCGCATGTGTATGTTATGGCAGTCCAAAACCTTTCTTGAAATGCAGATTGTTGCAGGTTCTAAGGAGTGAGGAGTGAATTCCAATTCTTTTTTGTCCCTTCAGCTGCCAGCTGTCCGGGCCAGGAGAGGGATACAAAGTTGCATCCAAAGTAGGTCAGTATCTCTGCCAGTATTGAGTGCTGCAGTGAGTCTTGAGTTGACTTTTATTAATCTGTGAAACAAAGGTGATACACTTTAGAAACATAGAAATGTGCCTCATGAAGTTTGATTCTATGAGAAAATAGAGGAGGATGCCAAGGCAGATAAATAGTAATTGTGTTTCTTTATGTGATCTTTGTTGCAGTGATTCTGTTGAGAGTTTGAGAGGAGTGGAGGTGAAAGCTGGTACACAGAAGATCCTCCTTCTGTGAAGTTTTCCATGCGGAGTGAGTCAGCATTGGCAACTTGTTTAACAGTTTGATGCTGCCAGGTACGGGTGTGAGGATTCTGAAGGACTGGGACTGAAGCCCCTTGCACATGTTGAACTGGTGTGAAAAAACCTGCTGGGGGTCTGTTGCCATCAAACTAGGAATCACAAGACTTCTTTTTTTTGGCTTGAAATTGAACCATATGCTAGTAGAATTGTATTCTCTTGAGTAACCATGTCTTGCTTTGTGAGGTGGAAAAGATGAAGGTAAACAGATCTTTGAGGTTATAGGCACATGTGCTGAGGACTGGTCGGATGCCCCAGGCAATGCTACATACTGTTCCACATGGGCTAATGTACTAACACCTACAAAGGAGAGGTCAATGAGAAACTGACTCATAAGGTCAATGAGAAATTATTTAGAAGTCTAAGACTCCAGATACAGAGCTTTTTGTTGAGCATGCCCTGATCTTTGTGCAGTTACTCTGAAATTCCACATGAAGGAATGACATGAGGTCTGTGTCCTAGGCTGGATGCTCCAGAGTGAAAACTCCACACACCACCTTCTTACTGAGAGTAACTGGAAGAATCTAGAAGCATGAGTTTAAATTACAGAAAAGTGGTCAAATGGTGCAAATACCAGTAAGGAATACTACATTTTCAAAGGGGTGTCCAGGGACTATGGAATGCTGAAGCCCACCTGGCAGAAAACAGAAACTGGAAAAAAGCCAGACTTGCTGTGTGTCGGGCACATTAGAATGTGGACACCATCAAGGTTTATGTGGAAATCTTGTCTCCACTTAAAAAGTATCTGTACAGCTGAACAGCAGATACACATGGATTATCTTAAAAGATAAACCAACATATTACCTTATCATAATCTTATTTGGTTTTTGACATTATTTCTATTCATTTTTAGACTGTGCACACTAATGTACATGATATGGTACGGTGCAATGCTCCTTCTTTAATACATTTCTATCACAGGTTGTATTCCAGTACAACACTCGCTTACAGCAGCGTTTTGTAAGACATGTGAGACTGGTGGCAGGATCACTAAAACAATTTAACTGGAGAGTAGTTCCACACAGACAAGTATGTAGATCATCAGATGTCCTCCATAGTTTGTACAAAATTTCTTGTATTGGAAGTTGAAACTACTTTGTGTGTCTGAGCCTAAGGATCTATTCCTACACTGAGCAGACTGCATAAATGTTAGCTGCTTTAATAGCTTGTGGTTTTTTTCAGAGATTAGTAGGCTAAATGGTCCTTGATGAGAAAAAAAGAATTTGGAAACTACTTTTTATATTCTAGAAGATTTCCACAGCCTAGTTGCCTAAACTTGCTGGACCTTAATTAACTTTCTACATACAAGTCTTACTGCTAGAGAAAACATAACAATGAATTGGTAAGTTGTTTTGCAGCAATTTAGCTGAGTGGATGCAAAAATACTAATGGGTAAAAAGAATCATACCTACTCTCAATCACTTGCCTTTTACCATATGCAGGACTTGCTCTGGATGATCAGCACAGGCAAGTGATTGTGTTAGGCTGGGCCAGCTAAAATGTTGTTTTCGAAGTATGTGAGTGCAGCTGCCTTGCAGAAATGTATTGCAGTAAGATCTTCCAGATCTCGAATATGGCTGTAATGGCTGTCTAAAAATAATACCTAACAAAGGGTGTCCTTCACAGGGGAAGCCAGAAATAACCTTTTTCCCTGTCAAAATGTAAGGCTATTATCAGTTACTTTACAAGCAGCAGCTTGACCCAGAGACCACGAAAGAGCTGACTTTCAACATATTTTCTACGTAAGCAATCTTGAGCTTGGACTTCCCCCCCCAAAGAGATAATAAATACCAGTCGCTTCAACTTTTTAGCCTCGGTTTTGTAACGAGCCGCGTCCCGCCTCCATCCGTTCCCTGGCCCCCGCGCTAGGCCGTTCGAGCGTTGTACCAGAAACGCGCGGCGGGCTCGGGCTCGGGCCCGGCCGCTCCGGGCGGGAGCGCGGTCGCGGGGTCGCCCTCACGTCCCTTCCCTCGCTCGCTCGCTCCCTCCCTCCCCGCCCGCCTCTCCTCCTCCCCCCCGTCGGCGCAGCGCTGTGGTGAAGCCGCATTGTTTGTGCCGCGGGGGGAGGGGAGCCGCTCAGCCCCGGGAGCCGAGCGCCGAGCCCGCACCCGGACGGCGACGCGCACCGCGCCTCACGAATGCGCCGCGCCCGGCGGCAGCAGCAGCCCCGCACCCAGCGCCGGGTGACCGCCGCGGGCAGCGCGGCCCTCGTAGCGCCCGCTCGGCCGCCCGCGGCTGCCGGACGCGGGGCCAGGCGGCAGCACCGGCGGGGCCTCCGCCATTAACCCGGCCGAGCGTCGGCCGCAGCGGCGGAGCGGGAGGTCTGTCAGCCGCTCCTCGGCGGCTCCCACAGCGTGAGTACGGCCGGGTGGGCGGGAGCCGGCGGGTCCCGTCGCAGCGGGACGGGAGAGCGGCATGGGGGAAAGAGCAGGGCGGACTGGGCACGGCAGCCTGCGGGGGAGGGCAGCGGCGGGCGGGCGGAGAGGCGAGGCGAGCGCGGCGGTCTGGGGGAGGGAGGGAGGGCGCCGCTGGAGCTGTTTTGTCAGCCGCCATATTTGTGGGCCGAGTATTTTCGCGGCGGGGAGGGAGTGACTGTTGGGAAGGGTTGGAGATGATGGGCCCGGGCAGGAACCATCCTGCCGGGGGCCGGGAGGGGGGAGCGCCGCGCCGGGCAGGAACCATCGGCGGGAGGGGAGCGAGCGCGTTGGAGGCTCCCTGGGCGTGGGCAGGAAGTGTTGGCGCGGCACCGGCGAGGGCGGGCCCGGGGGCGTGGGCAGCCGCGCGCGGGAGGCAGGATTCCGGGATGGCTGCGGGATCTGGCGTCGGTGCGCTTTTTTCCGCCGGGCCGGGAGAGAACGGCTCTGGTGGCCCCGCGTGTCTGGGCCGTGCCCGCGCACGTTCGCTGGGCTCCGTGAGCCCCCGCTCTGCGCCGTGCCCCGGGGAATCGCTCCTGCTGCGCGGCTGAAGCGGCGGGTGGTGTTCACCCAGTGTGCGTGTGAGCACTGTTTGCTTACCGTCCCTCATTGTCTAGGGCTAAAGAGTATTCTTGTGGCATTCCTGTGTCTTTCTCTTTTTAATGGTCTACATGAAAGTACATTGAGAGTGGAATTTCCTAGTCCTTTGAGCAGGGATCCAGGGACTGAAGACAGTTTATTTGAAGGGGAGGAGGAAGATAACTAGGGCAGTGATTGTAATTTAGAAGTGCACGGTACTGTACTTTTCGTGTTAGTTTTAGCTATCCTACACCTTGATAAATAGCTTTCTATCTCAATGTATTTATGGGAAGGAAAAACGTCTGCTGGTGATTTCCTTCCCAAGTAGCTGATGCAACTTTAGGAGATGAGAGCTGTGGATAACTTCCCTGGTTTATATCTCACAGTCTTTGAGGGCAAGACAGTGCTAACAGAAGTGCATTAAAATAATTTTGTGTGCGGTTAGTGCAGTATCTTTGTCGTCATTGAATGGAAACTTGTCTTAGTTTATGCTTCAAATTTACATCTTGGTCCTTGTTCATATTGATCTACAGGATACTGGGAAGGGGGGCTGGGGTAGGAGGGGGAAATGCCAGCTGATAATTGTGTAGGAAAAGCAAACCAGTTGTGGGTCATGAATTTGCTATGCAGAACTCTGGTCTTCATCCGGAGTATTTATAGAACATTTGCAAACAGAAGAATTTGGGAGAAACAAAACACTGCTTTGGCCTCTAGGGCATTTAAGTTATTCACACTAAATTTGCATGAAATTCGGCCTGAGTACTACCAGTTTCGATTCTGTATGCATTACATTGTATTTGTAGGGTATCCATTCTGTGTTTGAGACTGTAACTTTCTTCCTAAGTCAGCTGTATTTACTGTTGAGTATTACAGTATAGTTAGGTGTTAGCTCAGTCTGGTTCGTACAGTTAGTTTTACTTTTGCAACAGCCGTCCTAAATCTTTAAGCAAGATTAAAGATCTTGTGCTTTTGAGTATTTTCTTCCTATTTTTAATTCCTGCCTGAAGCCATACTTGAGAATCTTGGGAACAGAGGGGGGGCGGAGAGCTTGGAAACATAGCATTAATGCGTTTTTCTGTGGCACTGGGCTAAGGTAGTGTGGACAAGTTACACATGTTTTTGATTTCTGAAGGTCACCTCTCATCCATCCCTCTGTATTTTTTCTGAAACAGTCTCTAACCACAGGAGCCACTACGAACAGATACACAACCAGCTAAAATGTAGGAAGGGGCATTTAAAATACCAAAGCAGGCTTTTGCATCTAGACAGAATTGAAATGCAATTATACAAGGTAAACATGCTGTAAACCTTGTTTCTTGATTGACAAGTAAATTGAGTCTGTAATAAGTTGCTGTACATGGACACATCAGTGTGTTTTAGCTGAAGAATCCATCATTACTTGTTCACATTAACAAATCAGGGACATTGTAATACATTTGGGCTTCTGAATTACTAAATCAGTATTGAAACTGGGAAGTAATTTTAGGTTTGGTTAAATTACTGCTATGTTTTAATGGTTGGACCTTCTTTGGCACTATTAGTTGTTTAAACTGTTTTCAGCAGTTAAGAAACTAGTATGATCAAGTCCTGTGTTGTTTTACAGAATTTGATTGTTAAATTATTATTATTGTTAAATCTTCTGTTGTTTATAAAGAGCAGAACAGAGATCTGTCAGGATTAAACACTGACTGTTGTCTGGCTGTATGGTATAGAAACTAGTAATAAGGGTTAAGAATGAGTTGTGTAAAAGTCAGATTTATGAGAAGCACAATTCTTGCATGAATAATAAAACTAGCTTAGATTATGAAAACAGAGTCTGTTTGTGAGAGCAGACAGATCAGAGCCTTTTGGGAACTAGTCTTAGGCTAAGTTGCCTAGGTGATCTAGTAGTCTTCCTGTGAAAGGAGTTCCTGCAGTACTTTGAGGCTTTTAGGAATTGGCATCATAGACTTGAGCAAAAGGCAAGCAGCATGGAGTAAATAATGTAGTTAGTAGTTCAGTGCTAGCTGTTTTCTTCCCGAAATAGAGATATTGGTCTTTCACAGCAGTTGTGTTTTGATTTCTCGATTTGTCTACTCTTTTTGGCAATACGTGCTAACACTAATTGTGATATAGTGAGCAGTCCTGACTCAAAATGCAGAGTTGAAATGGTGAGGCCCTAGTAATACTTTAGGCAGTAATTAAAGATCAAGGGTTTTTTATATCTGAGGTTGAATGATGCTATTTATTAATGATTTATTGGGAAGAAGAAAGGAGTGGAATAGAATTTTAGACTTGACAATGTCAGTCAGGTTTATAATATTTTCAACCCTTATAGGAGAAAACCCCACCCAGTGTGAAGATGTCAAAAGGCATGAGTATGTATGGAAGCTTTTAACTTAGAAGTTTTGTAACCATCCTAGTCATGGGGCTTTGGAAGGGGGCGGGGGGAGAAAGCTGTCTTCTTGCATGGTATGTGATCTTTTTGCATTAGGTTGTAAACTTAAAAATTGTTTTAAAGAGCTTAGGACTGGGTTTGTAAACAGGAAGATTTTTATCTATCAGCAGTTGGTTTGAGAACAGCTCCTGAAGAATCTGTTGAAGGAGAAGACTGTGTGTACTTAAAAGCAGGGAACATGTTTTGGCCCGAAGTCAAATCTGCTTTACAGGTGAAATATTTACTAGTTGCAGTCCATACTGCACCATATTGGGCACTAAGAGTTCTGTCATCTTCTTGTCATGTTGTGAAGAATAATGGGCTCACTAAGGATTGAGGAAAGTAAAAAAAAGTATAGGGCTGTCAAACTGCCCACTTGCCAAATGTGGAAGTATGTGTGCTTTTCTAGCTTTTAAATATAGCCATAGTAGTTCAGTTGATAACATGAGTGTTTCGAATTGCACTGGAAAAAAATTCAGAGAAAGCTCATTTTTCTTTCACAATTGCATTAGTTCTTTTGAAGAGAGGTCTAGAGGACATAATCTGGAGTTGATGTAAAAATTTTCAAACTGCAGGCACCCCTAAATTGTTAAGTATTCTATTAAAGGTTTTCTTACAAGGTAACAAAGGCTTTTTTTTTTAAATCTGTGACACATCTGAAATGTTTTTGTTTTCACGCAGTGGTCTTGCCAACAGTGCTTCTAGAGGGTTTCTAGCAAGGATTTTGTATAGCTCTCTTTACTCAGGGAAGCTGTTATTTAGAAGATCTATTGATCTTCAGGTTAAACTTGTACAAGACTGAGCAGTCCTGTTGGGTAAGAGTGACAGGATTTTGGGTTTGTTTACTTTTTAGTTAAATATATGCATAGAGGGCTGCAGAACTGAAAGTTTCTTCCCTTACTGCAGTAAAACGAATATTCTAATATGATTATTTGAAGTTCATAGTATTAACTGTTGCTCTAATTTTAGGTAAACATTACCAAATGAGGAGAAAAGGAAGATGCCATCGAGTATCGGCAGCAAGGCATTCTTCTTCCCCATGCAGTATTAAGCACTCCCCGACACGAGAAACCTTGACATATGCTCAAGCTCAAAGGATGGTTGAAATAGAAATTGAAGGTCGCCTGCATAGGATCAGTATCTTTGATCCTTTAGAAATTATATTAGAAGATGATCTTACTGCCCAGGAAATGAGCGAATGCAACAGCAATAAAGAAAATAGTGAAAGACCACCAGTTTGTCTAAGAAGCAAACGCCATAAAAATAACAAAGTGAAAAAGAAAAATGAAGCTCTTCCAAGCTCACATGGTATACCTGCTACAACAGCTCCTCTTCCAGAACCCAAAGTACGGATTGTTGAATACAGTCCCCCTTCAGCTCCTCGGAGACCTCCAATTTATTACAAATTCATTGAGAAGTCAGCAGAAGAACTTGATAACGAAGTTGAGTATGACATGGATGAAGAAGATTATGCATGGTTAGAATTGATCAATGATAAGCGGAAAAGTGATGGAGTGTCAGTTGTTTCCCAAAATATGTTTGAATTCCTTATGGATAGGTTTGAAAAAGAGTCTTATTGTGAGAACCAAAAACAGGGTGATCATCAGTCTTTAATTGATGAAGATGCAGTGTGTTGTATATGCATGGATGGTGAATGTCAGAACAGCAATGTGATCCTGTTTTGTGATATGTGTAATTTAGCAGTACATCAGGAATGCTATGGGGTGCCATATATACCTGAGGGCCAGTGGCTCTGCAGACACTGTTTGCAGTCCCGCTCTCGGCCTGTAGACTGTGTGCTGTGCCCAAACAAGGGAGGTGCCTTTAAAAAGACAGATGATGATCGTTGGGGACACGTGGTGTGTGCTCTGTGGATTCCAGAAGTTGGATTTGCCAATACGGTTTTTATTGAGCCAATTGATGGTGTCAGGAACATTCCCCCAGCCAGATGGAAGTTAACATGCTACCTCTGTAAACAGAAAGGTGTTGGTGCCTGCATCCAGTGCCACAAAGCAAACTGCTATACTGCATTCCATGTAACGTGTGCTCAAAAGGCTGGTCTGTATATGAAAATGGAACCTGTGAAAGAACTAACTGGCAGTGGAACAACGTTCTCTGTGAAAAAGACTGCCTATTGCGATGTACATACTCCACCAGGTTGCACACGGAGACCGCTCAATATTTATGGAGAAGCTGAAATCAAAAACGGTGTTTGTAGAAAGGAGGGATCAGTCAGAACTGCTAGGTCTACATCAAAAATCAGGAAAAAGACAAAAAAAGCCAAGAAAACAGTGGTTGAACCGTGTACAGTTATGCCAACAGTATCTGCTCCTTATATTCCCCCCCAGAGGTAAGCAAGCCATAAAAGTATGAGAAACCTTTATTTAATCGATGTAATTTTCAGAAAGTGCTTTTAAATGCCACCTTGAAGTTTTTGTACGTTTTTTATGTGTTTTCTTTAAAGGCCTTTTCGAGGGAACTGCTGTTAATTATGTACATTGTGCTTCTGTGGAGTTGCATTAAAAATGCAGTAACTTCCTCAGAGAAATTACTAAGTGATCAAGTGATTTGTCTTGTCCTCATAACGTTTGGTTTGGTTTTTTTTGTCACACTAAGTTACATTGTGTGTTCACTTGTCATTCACTGTACTTCTAAGAATTAACCGCTGAATTCAGAATAGTAGATGCAGTTGATCTTCATATTAAAGAAAAAAAAGCCAAGCTCAAAGTTGACTTTATTTGCAATTTTGGATTCTGAGCGTCTCTTTCTAATTTTAAGAGATCCAAAATGAAAATTACAATTGTGTATGGATGTTTGAATCTTGTTCATCTCACATAAATTAAGAATAAACTTGTAGTGTAATATCTATGTCAGTTTTACAAAAAACCTTCAAGGGTTTTCCTTGTATAGCAGAATAACTTCTTAAGTGTTTCTGAAATTTATGTTTGTGTGTTTACAGCACCAGTATATTTGTTTACCTCTTGAATTAAATTCCTACTAATTTAAGAGCAGTAGTTTGAAAGGTTTCTCAAACAGGTACCAGTTCCGTGTGCAGGCTCATTTCCTGTCCTGTGACCAGACTCTGAATGCTCAGAAGTGAGGGCTTTTAATATAATACCATGCCTTTTAAATAGCTGACTCCCAAGTCTCAGGTAGGGAGCAATTAAAGCTGGCTAAATTAATCTAAATAAATACATGTTCAGGGACTGCAGTTCTTTCATAATAAGTTTTGTTAATGTAAGAAGCTACTTATTGACTGACTTTGATAAACAGCCTTCAGCTCCCCTGCGATGATTACAAACATCAGATTGATTGCTCTGTTCTGTGTTAGGGTTGGCTTGGTAAAATGGTTTTTTTGTTTTGTGATGCACTGCAGAAAAGCTTTAGTTGACAATAGGCAACTAATACTGCTGTTTAAACAGGAACTACTGCCCATGGAAAGGGGAAATTGGTGTACAATAATTTGGCTTTCTCTTAATTAGGACAATCCCAATTGGTAGTGTAATGTTTTTTTGTTTTGCTTTTTTTGGGACACGGTAAGAAAGAACATGAACTAAGAGTTGAGGGTTAGAAAGTATGTTCTTAGTTGTGCCTCTGGCAGCTCATTCCACTGGCCACTTTTAAAAAAAACAGACTCTAAAAAGATGCTATCATCAGATGGCTTTTTTAAAAATAGTCATTAGATGCCAGGACCAAAAATACAAAGACATTTTATTCTTTCTTTTTTTTTCATGTTAATGATTGACTTTCTTTTCAAGACTGCAGAGAAATTCATCATTCTTCTATTTATGCGTCTCTTCGTATTTCTAGAAACAAGTACAGTTCCTATACTGTATGTCATAAGTGTAAAAAGTGTACAGTTCAAAGGTATTTTAAAGCTGAGCTTTATTATAAATTGTTTGTCTTTGGCTGAGGGAAACCCTTGCTTAGGTACTCTTTGTAATGTGAACATGTTCAGTCCTAGAAAACTGATCTCTGAATTAAAAGTGAAACAAATGGGCGCATTAAAAGGAAAAGGGATTACACTGCAGGCCCAAATGTCTAGTTTTAGAACCAAAGTTGTCAAGTTTTCTTTGGCTTTTCTTCAATTTTTGTCTGTTTAGGAAAAATTCTTGTGTTTCTGTAGGAATTAAGTACGTACCCATAAAGTATTAAAAAAATTACTTGGATCATTTCACAGTAGTCTTTATTTATATTATTCTTTAATCTGTTTTTTAAACACTCTTTATCTCTTGGAGCTGAAGCATGATTTTTCAGAAGCCTTGAGGAAGAGCAAATAAGCTATTTAAGTTACTAGAGAATAAATATATACACTCAGTGTTTAAACACTAGTGCTTTTTTTACCTGAAGAATTTGATTTTAATATGTTTTCAACATCTCTGGAAATTGAGGCACTCGTGGAGATGCTTGGTTTGGATTGCTTTCTTAATTCCTAGGCTGTACGCCTCCTCAGCATATTGCTGGCTCTTCAGAGTTGGTAGTTGGAAGAGTGTACAAATATGAAGATCATAGTGGAAGAAAGTACGTGCTGGATGCAGCCCCTGAGTACATCTTATGAAGCTTGAGGAAAACCATCTTGCAATTTATGTTCAGTTTAAGGAGAAGGATTTGTATCCTTTTCTGGATAGTGAAAGTATATGAACGACTGAACATTTTAGTAACACGGTTTTTAGTAATTCTGTTTTCCAAAGCAATTATCCTAATGTTCAGCATTTTTAAAAAAGACTGGGTGTGGAACAGTATACTTCATAATTTCTACACAGCTTTTGTAGCTTATGAATTTCTGGATCAGCTTACTTTAGGTTGGGTTTCTGTGCTGCTGCCTTAAATTACTTCGACCAGAATTTCTTACACAGATGTCATACTCTAAATTTTTTTGCAGTTGTATTTTATATATAGTGTCATTCTCTAGGTCATTTATAATCTAATTGTATGATCTCTCAGACTTTCATCTGTGAACGACTGATTTAGGGGTGCAGATACAAAGTTGCTAACCATTGATCCATTGATGATAAGAGATAAGTGCTTACCTCTCCCACTTCATTTTTTTTCCTCTTTTTTTTGTAATTTATTTTTAATGCTGGGCCTATATCTGTCCTGTTGCCTAGGTATTTTGGAAAGTCTATACCTGAGTATCTACTTCCAAAGGTACGGTAGTTCATCTTGGAGCCTTAAGATGGTTTCAGTTTTCAGTGCTGTCAATGCTGACTTGTAACTTGCTTGCACTTGTAATAATGTATGGGACTACCAGGGAACTCTTATGCCTGGAGGATGTATGTCAGACCTGACTACAGAGATGTGTTGTTTCTTTACTTGAAAATTCCATTCAGTTCTTACTGAAATACCAAACTCTTGAATGTGGTGGCTTACACTGTACTGTTCATACTTATTAGCTTTTTTGGTTTGCCTGTTTTTGGTGGGCTTTTTTGTTTGTCTGTTTTTTGGGTTTTTTGATTGTTTAAAGGTAGAAATGAGGATCATCTAAAAGTTGTGTTCCTGGGATGTGCCAGAACAGCTGTGCCGTGTAGTGAGAAGAGGGAGGGATGAACAGTACCTGTTCCTCTTGGCAAATGGTAGTCAGAAAGTAGCCTCCTACTGCCACCAGCTAGTTTAGCTGAAAAAAATGGCACATTTGTTCTTGAAGTATAATATATGCCACTAGGGATGTGTAATGGTTGAATTTTGCTTAGTAGAGAGATTCCCCATGCCCCCCCCCCCCCAAAAAAAAAAAATACCAGAAGGAATTTGTTTAGACTGCAGGTCCAGAATTTTCAAGTTACAAAATCCTAACTTTTAGGGTTGTCTTGGCAATCTAAATCTAGCTGCTTCTTTCTGACAGTTACCTTGCACTGACTCTGTGATCAATTTCTTGTGTGTTGTTGTGGTTTTTTTTTTTTTTTAATCTGCTGCTGCTCATCCTTGTCTTTTATAACTATTACCTTATTCAGCAAGCAGGATGGGTATGTGCAGAAGAAGTGTTACAGTGTTAGCTGGGAAAACTACATGGTTTTTCTTGAGTGCTTGATTCTCTAGTACAAATAGCATTGGTTTTGTGTAACCTCTTGATCTTACTTGTCAAAAGAGGCATTTTAAAAATGTTTGCTGGTTAGCCAGTGTCAATATTCACGTTATTTTAAAATGCTGTGAAACTACAATATTGTAGCTATATACTTGGAGAGAAATAGAATGTGATATGAAATATTTAATCTTCAGTGTTTTAAAAGTATACACTGAGATATAATGTAATCTGCTTTATTAAAATGCCATTCTTGCAAGTACTGCTATATGGAAGTACTGCTTAAATGGAAGCTGGCATTAAAAGCATATAAATATTTGCTTTCATCTTTAGTTTCTCTTTCTGCAAACATGTCATGTTTGCTTTGTCTAAAGTGAAGAAAACATTTGAAAAGCAATCCTGGTATAGAAAGCAAGGAATAAGTAAAAAAGCCCCACTTGTATTAGAAGTAGGAACATTGTTGTTTCGTGAGGTGTGTTGCATCATTAATGTTAAAAGACAATTAAAAGATTATTATGAAAGTAAGGTAAGTAATAGCTGACAACTGAGAGCAAAAATTGCTGAGACTCTTACAAAAACTTCTTTCACTCTTCTGACAGATCAGCATTTATGTGCCCCACCTTAACTGATTTCTTTATGTTGATCTTTGGTTTTATTGGGAGGAATACTGTGCTTGGTAGTAAGCTGGATTTCTGTTACTGTGTCTCAAGGCAAAATCAGTATTTTCTTTTGGTTTATAATTTACCCAGTTGAACTATCCTGAACTTTCTTACCAAGTAATTAAATGTAGTCTTGTTATCTTAACACAGGAATATTTCTTGTCCCTTAAAGGAAATATGGACCGGAAAAATAAATAATAAATAAACAGAAAGTGTTGAAATGCAGTATAAGGGAAAAGGAGCATTAGCAAAGCCTTCCAAGATACTGTTAGTCTGCATTCACAGATAATGCTTCTTATTCATATATTCATATGGAGATTTTTTAAAACATTTTTTAGGGTACTCTTTTTTTTTTTTTTAAATACATTCAGAAAGTTTTCAAGGTGGGGGAAGGAGGAAGAAATGTGGCTTAAAATTCAGCATAAAAAAAAGCTATTGAAAAATACTGCTGGGGCCAGCATTGCAAAGAACTTGGAAGCTGAATAAATCCAGACCAATGTCTGTTAGCTCTTTATCCTCCAGTATACATGTATGTATAATTTACAGAATCATGTGAAAATGCTTATTTTAGTTCCAGGGGAGCATGATATAGGTGTGCCTTGTGACTATAATACTTGGATCATAGAACCACCTGAGGGGAATGCCACAAGTCTTCAACTGCTCATGTTTCTTATC